GATTATATAAAACTCATGAAGAATATACTAAAAAGTTACTTATATATAGTTATAATATATAGATTGCTGAGATAGAAGTATATAAAATACAAAATTAATTAATCTCTTGAAAGGTATTTACATTTAACCAAAGATTATATTTCTGTAATACAATTAATTACTGATATTCTGAAGCTATGTGATATTTGGAAAGAAATATTTTGATTGCTTCTATAGATTATTCTAAGCAAAAAAATGTTCATTGTGCAATTGTAGATCGCATAATTAATGGAGAACAGTCTAGTGTACTGTCATATATCCTCAATATTATACCTCTTATTAGCCTTTTACATATATACTTAAATAGTCGAGAAACTGTGTTTCTTATTAATTATCACTTTTTTGAAAAAATGTATCATTCAATATTTGGTTGTTGCAAGGTTCTTGCTAAAAAATCTAAGCCTTATTGAATTAACTTTCTCTTAGAACTTGCATTCAAAGGGTGGCTTCTAGTTAAAGAACCTATTTAAAATCTTTTTTATAATTATAAAGTTTCAGAAGCATGTATGCTTATTGATTTTTTAAATAATGTAATTCCAATAATTTTTTATATAGATTCTGAGAAAAATATGAAGAAGCAATATTACACATATGGGTTATTTTCTATCAATATCAGTGTAAAAATTATAACAAACTACCATTAGCATTTCTTAGTGATGCCTTTTATTGGTAACACATTGAACACCCTATAGTAGAAACACTTAGAAGTTCTCTTCATATTTTTAATGATTATTATGTAGAAAACTTTCATAGTACTATTTGACATCATACAAATAGTTTTAATACTGCTTAACAGATAATTCATCAAGCAAAAATAATTGATCAAATGCGTGGTAAAAATTCTTTTGTTGAGGTATTTTCAAAAAGTCATAATATTATTTATGAAAAGGAGAAGTTGGAATTTTTGGAAAAAAATCTGCAATTTTCCTTTTAGATTTATTCCAAAATGTTTGGAAAAATCGTGGATGCATAACAAAAAAGAAAGTTAAAAAATATTGGCAATATAATTTGCCAACTTTTGGTAAAGTGTGGATGAAAAGGTCCTTCCTATGAGTTGGAATTCATCTGTTCTGCCCAAATTAGACAGATTGTGTGACTGGAATAAATGCACCTTATCATCAAAGGCATCGGGTAGTATTTTATTGTGTGGTCATGGTTATCATACCGAATGTTTTAATCAAACAAATAAAAGATGTTTATATTGCTATAAATACCTTTGCAATGGCATTAAAGATAATTGTAAAATATTTCAGAATATGTTGAATAAGAAATCGGATGATGATAAAGATCGTGATGAAGATTTGGAAGATCAAACAAATTTACAAGATGATAATGATGATGAGCTTGTTTCTGTTGAGGAAAATATAAATAGGGAATTAGAAAAAGCATTAGAATTATTTAAGTTATTTCAATAATATGGTTAGTATCAATTAATGTTAATTAATTATTCTGTTTTATAATTTATTTTCTTTAAGCGATGCTAATGTTTTTTGTATCATGCGCATATAATCAGGTGATTATCACGCTATCTCTTTGGCATTTATTTTATTGACACATTTTATCGCAAAATTAAGATCACTTAAGATATTCTATTGGTCTCCTTTTCTAATTTATTTAATTTTACTTTAAAACATTCATTTAACGTTAATATTTATTTAATTTTATTAATTTTCATAATAGTTATCTATAACAAATATAATCACTATATTAATTGGTTGAAATTTTTGAACAATAACAATTTGATTTAAAATAAATTATAAATATATAATAAAAATTATATAAAATCTTTTAAATTAGTACAAAAAACTAATAGATAAACGTTTTTTACGTAATGTGATAAATTCGATAAATGATCGGCAAAATAATCGACATATACGTGATAATTTAGAAAGCCCGTTATGCTCTATTTCACATGATGATGCTAAATGGAACGAGGAGGAATTCACGATCATGAAGAGGGTTCTCGATGAGTTTATTCCATTAATTAGGTTCTTACATATCACACCAGAAAATTTTCTCGATAAGATCTATCCTTTAAAAGTTTTCTGCCAGATGATTTGTTAAAGCACATCCTGACATTTCACATGACTCCAAATAATGTCGATTTGTTGCCTCCAAGAAAAAAGTATTGTTCAGTTATAATTAAACCTCAACATTTTTTCTTATTTTAAAAATGATTTATTGGAGAGGCAATATGCAAAGAAATATTCCTTATGATTTCGGATTGCTCTATCGTACCAGTAGGGACCGGAAAGGAAACAAAGTTCTTTCATAATAAATGTGATGGCAAGGGAGCTACTATTTTTGTCGCAAAAATCAAAGATTCCAATCATGTCGTTCGAGGTTATAATCCATTAAATTGGTATGAAAAAGGTTATAAATTAGGAATGTTAAAATCCAGTCCGGTCCTAGTCCGGTCCCGAAACTCCCAGTCCTAAAGAAGACCCGGTCCATAGGACTTGAGTCCTAGGATGGATTCTAGGACCAGGTCCCGAGACTGCAGTCCTAGGACCGCGGTCCTATATAAATTAGGACTTGCGGTCCTTGAACTGCGGTCGAATAGAAAAATAATCGTTCAAGAAGAACGATGACGAATCGTTCGCCTTGAAAGATAAAAGAAATAATCGTTCAAGAAGAACGATGAAGAATCGTTCGACTTGAACGATTATTTTTCTATAGGACCACAATCCTAGGACTGCAGTCCTATAGTTCAAAGGATATTGAACTGGATCGGACTTCGTAGGACTGTTTAGGACCTAGTCCCATGGGACTTTTTAACATCCCTATTATAAATACTCGTCGAAGAGTTTTATATTTTCCTTTAAAGATTGTAGAGATATCAAAACGGTTAGAATAGTAGAATATTGAAGGGATGTGAAAAACATGCAGTTTATTGTGATAATACGTCTGGACCATCTTTTGGGTACAGGGGTGATATCAGTTCTTGTGATGATGAATTATGGACTTCCTGTAGGAATTCATACAGTATCATTGATATCCCAACAGAATTTGATATTGATGTGAAGTATTTCAGGTCATTAAAGTAATAAGGGAGTGATGTTCGGTTAGATTTATCGTGTATTATGATTAGTAATTTCAAAATAATAAATTATTCTGCTGTAACTTGCTTGCTATGCATAATTTTAATACTTCAGTTCATATCCTTTATTTTTTTTTTTTTAAAAAAAAAAAAAAAAATTTAGTTCATTCGTTTAAAACAAGGAATTTTGTAATTCTACAAAATTCAAAAACTAAAAGAAGCATAGCTATGGTAAGCCATGTTGGGCAAGGATAATTTTAATAATTTGTTACAAATCTAAAATAAAGTAGCCCGCAGAAAGCCGGTGATTTAGGGATATTATTTTCGTTATAATGTGAATTGAAAATAAATTTCGTGCCGATCCTTAGTCATCTTCACTTGAACGGACAATAACTTCAAATTTTTTATCGTATTTTGTAAAAGTATACCGTTAAAAATAATCTTCTCATGTTGTTCTAACATTTTATCGGTTAAATTTGTCTAATTGTTATAAATTCATAATGAATAATTTTTTTTAGAGAATTATTAGGATTAGCAAACAATTTTTGCCGATCGTTCTAAATTTGTCGTTACGTTATTGAAATATTTTATTAAAACAAGTTTAAATCTGAGAATTAAATGTCGAAAAAAATAAGCAGAAAAGATTAAGTTTGGCTGTATTTTAATGAAATTATTGTCACACAAGAGAAATCAACGATAAATAGTAACATATTACACTGCAATAATTTTTTTTATTTGCAATAAAAATTTGTAAAAAAGATATATATATTACTATTTTTGGTATTTTGTAATATAAATATTATTTTTGAATTTTTGAATTTCGCATAGCCAATTAGCATAACATTAATTAATTATACTGGGACGGGTTCGAGTTGTAATATTATTAAGTCAAGCTTCAACATTTGGACTTAAGCAGGCATTTTCTTTGGACATACACGATTTAAAGTTCAAAGAATGAGATTAAATATGGAAAAAATAGTATGACAGGATTTACTACCAAACAAATGATGGTGGGTAATTTTTAATATTTAATTTATTATAATTTGAAATAAAAAGATGTACAAGGACTCGAACAAAAGAAATCACCTGTGATTTTTCAGCATCACTACAAACTTCTAATTTAATGGTTATGTTAGACTTGTTCCGATCTAGTTGAGATAGTACTCTGAGATTCTAAAACGACAAATTTAAATACATAAAATTTCGCATTCCAAGATTCAAAAGATAATATTTGAATTCTTCGATGGTAAAAGTTTGAAGTTATGGCCTATGACTACTATCATTAAAAGTTACTATTATTTCATAACACTGTATCTCCGAAAAAAAGCTAGAGATTTTCTTTAGGTCGATGTAGCTGCCTTATTATCTCAATCTTGAAACTTTCGTTGGGCGATTATTAACGTAAAATCACCTGTTCACATACATAATCTTACGATCAAGTGAGAATACTTTTGGTAAATTGGATTGTTTGTACATATTTATTTTTACTTTAGGCATTTTCAAATAATAAATTACATTAATTTAATAAGCAATGTAATCACATATATAGAAAACACCTAAACGATTTTTCTATTTTTTTTTATTATTAAAAAAGATCAACTATGAATTTTCTTACAGTAAATATTTATGCTTATATAAATTATTTTTACTAGGGCACTTGAAATATTATTTTTTTTTTCCATATAAACAATTTGTTTCTAAAATGTCAAAATACAACTAAAAAATTTCACCCGATCTTATTGATACAATCAATGTGATTGAATTGATTTGTATTTTTTTTTTTTTTTAAACCCAATCATAACTTATTAGTCAGTGTTGAGAACGTCCTTAAATGTTCTAATCAAAGGTTGTGTTAATCGAATTTAATATAAATTTCGATATAAGGGTAGTGTAGTCATCAAATTAAAATTTTAAGGTAAGTTTATCCTTTGATGCTCACACACCTTGATTTTAGGAAATTTAAAAACAATGATGTTTTGAGACCCCTTGATGGCTCAAAAGCCTCTTTAAAAAGACCGAAAAGAAGTGAAAAATTAGATTCACCGCTTCGAATTGTGGTGAAAACATTCCAAAAGATATCGCCGTAAATATCCAGCTTATTTTCGAACATCTGTAAGGCGTCTACTATGGAATTATCGTCGAGCTTAAACCCTAGTTCGATAAGTTTGGTGAGGCGGAATTTTACATCGTCGGCAGTAGGGCAAAGCCATCCAGGTGGTGGGGATGGAGGAAATAGGATTAGTAATGCTCCCGATATGACAAGATTCCATAATTGAACAAGACTTTCGTCAAGCAATATGGCTCTCGCAATTACATTTAACTGTCTATTGTTTTCAAAGTCATCCTTTGGTGGATATTCTACCGGAACCATGAGATTTTGTGATGGTCGATTTCGTAACATAATTTAAGTTTGCTTGGTTGGTGGAATGGATATTCTTGTATTTTAAATAAAGAGTATACTGTAAGAATCATAGGAATACATAATTATGTTATTTTTTTTATGGTTATCAAAAGATTCGAATTTCGATCATTTATATATATCAAACGGTGATATTGTCATACCTTAATTCTGTGATAAGGAGTCTTGCATGCATAAAAAAAAAATTTGCATTTTCCTTCCAAAAGCTCTACTTCTGAGAAACTCTTTCCGATTGATTTAGCATATCAATCAATACCTCTTGTATAAAGAATCAAGTTTGCAGATTTCTTTATTCTACAGTTGGAATCGTTGGTGGCGTTCTGAATATACTTAAAAAAGAAGTGACCCTGTTTTTCTGGATAATCTTGCTTATGATTCAGACATGCTGCGCTTTATAAGTTTTACACGTTCGTGTCAGAAAAATTTTGATTGGCTAGAGATAGGTGACCAGATCGATTATGCGTTGAAAATTTCAAAATCATTGGTTTCAATTGTTAGTTCTTATCGCGGTTGGATAAAAAATTTTTACAAAAAGAAAATGTGTTTGTTTCATTTGGTTTAATTGTTGGCTTAGGTAATTGCTTTGTCGGATCACCTTTTTAGTAACATCGTCATTAAAATGCTGAAAAACTTTATTCGATAACAGTATATAATTTATTTATATTGTGGGAATTTTTTTTATTAATGGTTAGTAATATTTATTAGCTTTCACTCATTTCCATAAAAATCAAATTGAATCAGTTCCCCTTTTAGTAATTTCTTATCTTTTGAAGTGGTTAATAGAAATAATAATGGTATATACTAAAAACGAGAAAAAAAATTGATCATCAGTTTTTTTAAGGTAAACCAAAAAAGAGACAAATGATGAAATACAACACTAATATTAAGTAAGGTACTACGTTCTAATAGTTTTTAAATATTTTATGATCAAAAATCAAAGTTAAAGTTTTTCCTTCCATTAACATAAATTAATTTAATTTGTAGTGAGAGAGAGAATTATTTTGTAAATTTATGACGATTTTTAAAAATTCACTAAACAAAAAGTCATAACTTATTTATTTATTGATCAAAAATAATTATTTATAGTTGTCTATTTGTGAGGACTAACTGATTAGTCGTGGATTCAGTAAGCAAATCTAGACTTGTTCATTAAATTTTCATTTATAAAATTGATAAATTATCGTGGAAACATTAAATAGTAAGTCGTTAATTAGAATAAAAACGTGGGGGGGGGGGGGGATCAATAATTTTTTATTAAAAGATAATAGCAGCTTTAATCCGATAAACGAACAAAAATTCGAAGCTTTTCAAAAGTTAATTTTTATTTATATTTTTAATTTAAACTTTAAAAGGTTAGAAATTCATGCAAATAAATATGTCATGTTGTCATTGTTGACTTCCCGAAAAATCAAATAAGTTTTAAAACAATAGGAAAGGATGATTTTTTGAGCAGAGATGATGAACTTGTCGATGAATAATCATCTGCAATAGTATCAAAACAAATGACAACGTAATATCAAAACAATTTCGTAAGTATAAATTTAAGGTAGATGCCTTCTAATAAAATATCTGGAAAATTGAAAGCATCTTTGTAGTCAGAGTAGAAGCCTGCATAAGCCTAAATTTTGAAGCCCGCCCAGGCCCAGAATTAATAATATGAAAACTTGTACTCGACCCAGTATAATTAATTTATGCTATTTTGGCGATGCGAAATTTAAATTCAATATTATTTTATTTTACAAAAACCAAAAATAGTAATATACTGTATATTGATATATTTAATTTGCAAATTTTATTGAACATAAAATCTAAAAAAGATTTATTGAAGTATACTATGTAAATCTAAAAAACGCTCTAATGTTGATTTCTCGTGTGTTAATAATTTCATTAAAATACAGCTAAAATGCTTTTTTTTCTTGACATTTATTTCCCTTTTCTTTTTTTTTTTTTAAAAAAAAAAAAGAATAATAATAAAATATTTAAAATAATGTAACGCGACAAAATTAGAAATGATCGGTATCAGCAAGCTCAATCAACTAAATTATAATTTTTGCCAGAATTATAAAAATCAGGCTGGTACTTTGAACCCTGCCCACTGCAGGCCTCTAAGTCAGAGGATTATTTTCTCCTAAAGTTTTATATTAACTATATCATCAATGTATACCAGCATTAGTAGGGATAACAATCGGTCGTAGTCGGTCAACGGTCGGTCAAAAGCCTTTGACCGACCGACCGGCTAACTAACCGATTTTAACTGACCGGCCGGTTAATAATAAAATAATTGTGCAGTTTTGGCTTAATAGAAAGTTTAATTTAGCCAAATATTGTAATTTTGATTCTTGCTTTAACAATTCTAGCATGGAATTTTTTAAAACTACTTTGTCATTTTATTTAGTGGCGTAGCATTATCGTGGACTTTAAAATAAAATGTTGTTTTTCTTAATTTTAATACTATTTAAAACATGGTGGTTCAGTCTCAAGTCAGTTGGTCAATCGGTTGATCAAAATCGGTCAGAATCGGTCGTTCAACAGGTCGATCAGAAGCCTTTGACCGATCACGGTTACGACCGATTATGACCGTGACCATTATCATCTCTAAGAATTAGCATATATCATGATCAATAATTGATTATTCTGATTTCCTAATTAGAGAAAAATAAATCTCATATTGATTTGGTCAAATCAAAATTCAACTTATGAACTAAAGATGTTAATTACCAATGAAAATCAAACGTTTGAACTAGCAAAACAAGATTTCAAAATATTCTGAATTCCGAGGCGTGCAACGTCAAACTACCTCATGAACGATTTATCTAATTGTTGTTGCGTCGTAACGATATGAAAAAGGTTTTAATACTAAATGTTTATCAGAATTTTTCCAATTTGCTCGAACCCTCCAATTTCTCGAAGATCGCTAAAATATCGATAATCGTAATATTTAATATGCTAGTTACAAATATCTCCTTTAATACAATTAACCCACTCATTCAAAAAAATCGTGTTATTATTTATGATTTCTCATTCAACTTTTTAATGTGCTACATCCCCGATTAAAATATCCGACCTTGTCGATCTTGGCGACGGAGATTATTGTGAATGAAGTATTGAAGACTTTCTTCATCCTAAAACAACCATTTATGGTATAATTACAAACTGGGAAAAGGGAACCGTTGTGGGTCGGGTCCGGACAATTAAAAAGTAAAAGCAAACTAAAGTCACTCTGCAACTGGTAGGACGCCTAAATTATCAGAAAGAGATATCAAACATCTTGTAAAAATTGTTTAAAGTAAATCACCAATAAACAACACAATAATTTGAATAGTCCTAGTTTTATAAAGCTACGTATTGACGAACACGGTTAATCTTTCTAAAGTATTACATAAGGCGCAATAAGTTTGAGGATATTCATAAGAATTAGAAATGCTTGAGGCGTAACTTAACGAACGACCACCACCTTTGTATTTGATGCCTAGAGTTGCGGGGAAAAAACCCTAAACCCATTTTGGCAAAAGTCGAAACTTTTCAGAAATTGAGTTTCGATAACAACTTTGCGAATTTGACGGTTTTAACAGGTTTATTGTACCACACTGTAGAAGATAAAAACGATTTTTTTTTTTTTTGCTTTTTATTTTAAATTAGAACAAAGTTTCCAAAATAATACAATTTGGAAGCACTGGTACTTGTTGAAGAATTAGAAAAATTACCTTATGAAGAAGATGATGGTTTATTTTTATATCCGGATTTATTTAATTTTTAAAAATCGGATCCGGATTTAAATCCAAATTATCGAATCTTTATTTCAATACCTGTACAGATCAAATAGTTCTTTTAAAGCATACATATCATATACCGGCGCGGTTACATGATAATATTACGATCTCGGCGCTTTTAATTTATCTTATATAAAATCCTATAAAAAGATAAACTTCAATGCTAGTCATAATAGATGAATCGCTCTAATTCATTGTGCTGCATGAGAATCCGGTTTTGTGCTTTGTATCCGGATTTAAATTCGAATTGGATATATCTGGGTTTAAATCCGAATGTTCAAATGAAAGTTTAATGGATGAAAAAGAAGAATACTGTCATGAGTTTAAATGAAGAAAATATGGGAGGTAAATGATGTAACTGGACTTGATGAAAAATAAATAATTCAATTTCGATATGTAAATTTTTTGAATTTTTTTTTCATATTCTTTATAAATATATAAATATATGATATTATAAAAGAAAGTGATCTTTGCTATGTACGATTTGTTCATCTCGTAAAACAAAATAATAAATTTTTGGTTTCGATGGATTTTATCATCCGTCGAAACTTTCGCAATTTTGCCTTTAATAATAATATTTGGCAAAAACGTTTAGACGGGTTTTGATTTCGCCTGTCGAAACCTCCGGGTTTTGCCCGGCAACCTTATTGATGCCGAAAGAAATCGCCTAAAAACCGGTCTAAAAGAAAATGAAAATGAAAAAATATAACATAAATAAAATAAAAATAAAAGTCTTGCCACAGATCTCATGAATCCGAAAAGAATCTAAAAAAAATAAAAAATAAAATAATTGATAATTAAAAAAAAGGATAAATAGAAATTAAACCAAAGGCGAAAAAAATATTCAATCACTCCTGAAAACTAAAAAATTTAAAAAGAAAAGGGCGCAATATTTTTGGAAAATATCAATTTTTTTTGAAAAATATATATATATCTCTTTTATTTTAAATAAATTTTCCCTTTATAATTAAATTGGAATGATTAAGAAAATCTATTAAAAGATACATTAAGGAAGAAAAATAATATAAAAATTAAAAAATTTTTATTTGTCTAAAATAACTAAAAAATTTTAAATTGTACGCTTTTTTTTTCGTTTCCTTATTTTTCTTTTCCGCTCGATCAGGAAAACTATTTCGGTACGCGATAAGGTTGTTCAGTTTCGTTGAGATAAGCTAACAATTCCTGATCGTGGCTGTCGATTAAATTATTTTC